ATATTTTATGACGAATACTCCGGATTCGAAAGATGATTTTCATCATTTATAGAGATGAGAAAAATACTACACCTTTTATATATTATTACTAAGACTAATTCTAATTACATATAAATAATTAAATATGAAGAAAAAGCCTACAAAATTCCATGCTTCCGTGGTTCATGACTTTAAAAAAATTGAATTCAAAGTGAAACGACCGAATAAAAACTGTGAATGGACAGAATGGTAATCATTCGATATCTTGACTTCAGTTCTCTCTTCTTTTCTTTACTTTTAAAATTCTTCGTTGATGGATGCTTATTTCCGGAGGGCGTAATAAATACGTAGTACTCCGTAATGTACAATTAATTTGACTTCTATTAGCAATGCTTTCCAATCAAGAATTAGGATATTTTTTCTTGGACGGAAATATATTAGTCTGGTCTGGTATGGTCTACTTTAATAAACGTTTGATTTCTTTGTATTTATAACTATGTAATCTGGGTTTGATCTAATCTGATTTGATCTGGTTTGGTGAAGCTAGTTGACAGATTTTTTTGTTTGTTGATTGATAAAGCAAATACTTCTAGCCGAATCTTTCAACTGATTATTTTAGATATTTGCGAAATTAGTTAATAGTGTAAAATCATCAATTAGGATATAAATTTAAATTCAAAAAGTTTATTCTTTTCCACATTTTTTTATTTTATTTATTACTTAATAATAATTGATGCTCAAGCAAGCAGGAGATGGAACTCTACTTCAACTAAGGGTCTGTTTGCAACAGTTTCGACTTTAAAAAAAATACTTTTTTTAATAAAATGGGGAGAAGTGATTAAATAAAAGTTGATAGTGTTTGAGAAAAAAGTGATTTTAAAAAGTAAAAGTTGATAGAGTTAGGTAAAATAAGTGCTTTTTGTGTAATAGAAAAAGTAAAAGCACTTTTGACACGAAAAACGAGAAAAATAAAAGTTGTAGTGTTTGGTAAAAGAAGTGTTTTTTTAAAGCCAAAAGCTGAGAAATGCTTTTTTTTTAAAGTGGTTGCAAACCAACCCTAAGATCCTAACTCAGACTTTTTATGGATGACACCAGAGTTATGTTAATTCAAGTAAGAAAGCTATGAGTACAATGTACAAAGACAATAAACAATTGTGAGAAAAGGTCAACTCGAATTCATAAACTTGAAATCCCCACTGAACATCAAGGCCTTCAATTCATACTTCTCATAAAACCAAATTATCAATCCAAATAATCCAATGAAAAAAAGCATCACAAAAGTAACGAATGAACTAAGCAAAAACAACATTAAAGTAAGCAAGTGTTAAAGATATCTAGTCATATTTTAATTATTAATACACTTCATCGTATCGAATATGTTAATTCGATCTAGCGGACAAGCAATTATCCAACTCGATCAAGCATTCATCACAAAAAGTTGGAGATTCAGGATATAAAGACGAGCCATCAAATTATTAGAAGAATAATGACAACTTAGAAGAATACTAGAGCCTTAATTTATACACTTGGAGTAGTAACTTACTCAAAAATGTGAGAAAAGTGAAGAATTGAATTTTGAGGTCGTATTCGGTTACAAGCAAATTAAAGAATTCAGCTCCTAGCAACTTCCACGAAACTTCATCCATGTTCATGAACGAAAAGGGATGCTTCCACACAATTAGGAATTTAGGAGTACGTCACCTTTCTCCAAGCTTTCTCCTACTATCTAGTTTTGGTCCAATAAATAGAGAAGTTTGTAAAACTTTCTGTCATCAGATATTAGATCATCATATCATAACCAAAAGAGTTGTACGTGTAATATATATCCATATATATTTTACTCTTACTTATAACCTGTGCAAATTTTAACATGGTCGTCCATCCAGAACATTTTTATTTAAATAATAAATGAATTAAAAAACAATATAATCAACACAAATATGTAAATTTCATGCATGTGCTGAAGTATATGTTTTAATCAGTAATTCTTTATAGATCTTATAGATTTAGCATTTATGCTTTGGAGGATCCTACTACATGACCTTGCCGTGGAAATTCTTCAACAATACAACATAACCCATCGAAATAACAAAGTTAATGATTTTGATTTCATCATAGCAGGTTTCTTACTAGCTAGAAAAGATTTTGATTTATAGTACTAACTAAGAAAAATATAGATCTCTACTTTCTCTTGAAGATACTTGATATGCTGTTGCTCGAGATATTTCGGGATTCAATGAACCTGTGTCCTCGGAAATAAAATATTGCAAGTTGCAAGTTATATTATACGTAGTAGTGTAGTACTACCTCCGTCCTCCGTCCCACTAAGATTGAGACGGAAAAAGGTGACACAATTATTAAGAAAAGTGGGTTTGTGTGGTTGATATTAAATTGATAAAGTAAGAATAAAGTAAGAATGATTTAGAGCCACGCAATCTTTACCAAATTTGTTATGGGACAATCTTAGTGGGACTTCCCGAAAAGGTAAAATGGGACAATGGCACGGAGGGAGTACTATGCAACTTTGATGAGTATAAACTCGAGAGGGACTTCACGATCAAATGCCCATATCTCGAGCTTTTTTTTCATTTTTTTTTTTTCATTTTCAGCTACAAGGCCGTATTCAAAAAGTTTTATTACAACTCCTACCTTCTCTTGGTGAATAGATAAGAGCTGGTTGTCTAGCAAAAAAGTAAAAGTTTTTATTTTTTGGGCTGTTCTTTCAATTGCATCTGCCCTTCTTTTAAATAATAAGGTAATTGGTATGATAGAATTATTCATAGTATCCCCTTCTCATTACTTAAGATGCATAATTCATCTATACTTATTTATTCTATTTTACTAATCTCATTACTTAAGATGCATAATTCATCTATACTTATTTATTCTATTTTACTAACCTAAAGTGAGAAGGTCCGGCATAATATTATAGCCCTTGATTCAAAGATACTAGTACTAATTATGAATTGATTTCCAACGTGTTTATCAAAATATATGCATTTCACATCAATCTACACACTTAAATTAGAATTAGGTAGAGGCCTTCTAATATTCTAAAAAAAAAAAATCAACATCACGAGAAAGCATAAAACCGAACAGCACTCCTATAATTTTACAATAAAATTATGTAGTTAATATATTCTATTGTTGACTCACTCATGAACTATGAATCGAACTCTAAATATATTTTTGTACAAAAAAAGTGATCTGATATGGTCTGATCAAATCGAACTATTGAACTTAATATTATATTGTTGACACACTTATGCAAAATTTTAGTAACTTAATTTAGTTAATATGACAAAATTAATTTATTACTCTAGTCATATATTATACTTAAGAAAATATTGATGTTTTTAATTGGATTAAAATTTTCAGATTTGTCTGTTTTATCACTGTTGAAGTTTGATCTTATGTTAGACTGAAAACAATTTCAATAATTAAGAACATTATTCTAAGAGGTCACATATATGACTCCACTTTGCAAAACTTTATAAAATAATATAGACTCCACCATGGAGTCGTCTGTGTGTGGTAGAGCAATCCACATATCGACTAGAAATAATTACATATTTATGATCAAAATAAAACTTATTTACGAAAATGTGATATCTTAAATGTGAGTGTCGTTCCTATCACGAGCTCCTAAAGAGAAGTCTCGTGCAAACAAGACCATCAGAGGGTCTTCCCGATGGAGTTTTTGATGAAATTTTGTGATCATGTTATTAATCAAGTTTAGTTTATTCATATCAAATTTCAACTCAAAATTCGATCGGAAAGGTAGTCAAATAAATTCATGAAACATACTGCGCATTATAGGTGCGCGGAATGCGCCATATGTTTGAAGAATTTATGTGACTGCCTTCCCGATCTAATTTTGAGCTGAAATTTGGTATGCATAAAGTAGACTTGATGAGGAACATGCTCAAAACATTTCATAAAAAAATTCCACCAGAAAGACCCTCTTATGATCTTTTCCGCACGGGGCTTCTCTTCAGGAGCTCCTAATATAAACTGCCCTCTCTTAAATGTATTGCTTTTGTAGTAATTTTAGCCATAATAATTTATCAATTTTCACTTAAGTAACCATGAGACTACATTGTATATAAATTTCATTTCAGTATTATTATGGAAAAAACCTCTTTCTTAAATATGTTATATTTATTTTATTCTCGAAAATATTTTTCATTCATTTCATAAAGAAAAGTTATTAGTAATTTTCTTTATTTCAGGAACCTGGAATAATCAAATCCTATTCTTAGTGCAAATTTCAAAATAAGGATATATATATATATATAGCTATTGGGCTGATCTGTTATCACCCATATATTAATTAGTCAAATACCACTATTTCATATAGAGGCCGTTTGCCAACACTATTTTTCGGCTTATTAACAAATTTTTCATAAAAAACGCAACTTTTACTTTCACGCGTTGAATTGTATAATAAGCAGAAAAAGTAAGGTTGGAGTTACTTTTCTGGCCGTATTGGCTAAAGTTATTGTAAATGACCATTTTAATTAGCTATTTTTGCATAGAAATGATTACATAATTATGACCAAAATAAAGATGCTTACAAAGATATGACTAGTTACTAGAGTAGTAATGAATTCATAGTAATTCATGTTCAAGTTTTGAATTTAAGTTACCACAACACTATGTTGTAGTAATGAATAGTCATATTTATGTAAATAAGTTTTATTTTAATAATATTCTTGTAAAAAACCTCAGCCAATACAGCCACTTCAACCAAAACTTCATAAATTTCACCAGAATCAGCTAAATCAGCCGATTCTACCAAACGGGATCATAGTTCTTTTTTGTGAATCTATGTACAAAAGAATACTACATATAGATAATAGATTCGCACGATCAACTAAAATATTCATTCCAATATTTGTTATAGATAATTCTTGGTGTGCTTTTTGAGTATAAATGTAAATTATATTAAGTAAATGTGACAAAAACTAAATAAAAACATCGATCTCTTGATTCATAGTTGCATCATATCAATAGATCATGCAAAATGTGACGAACCATTTTATTTTCGTGATGAATAACGACGCATGCAGAAACTTTCAACCTATGGACGCCACTTGATTCTTCATGCCAAATACATGCTAATTGTACCTTACCTCATCTATGGAGTACCAATTCTATCAATTCCAATCGGCGAACCCAAACTAATTTGTTTTAAGGATTTAGGGTACGTATTTTGACAAATTGATTTAGTACCTATATATATATTCCTCGTTATATTAGGTAGTACTATTTTTCATTTCTGTCGATTGAGACATGGAATCGATTGGCTCCAAGTACCAATCCAATTTATTAATCCCGCAACTATGTAGTTTAATCTAAAAGCATATCGGTTTTATTGAACTCTTTTTTTATCAACCACTAAGAAAGTAATCGTGTCACATTGGACGGACGGGTAGGCCTCGTGCCTACCGTTTGGTGCGGCGATTATCGATCGTCCGCGGTTTTCTTCTCTTCGCTCGACGATCGAGTCTCGAACAAACAGCAGTTTCGGCGCTCGAGCCTTGAGTTCGTGATCTGGGCGAACGAAATGGAGCAGAATGACACCAATGGAGGGGAAGCACTGGCCAACGCCTATGAAATGTTGGATCTGGAGGAAGAGGACGATGTCCTCGTGGTCGCACTAATGGCTCTGCCCTCAGCGAAACACAATCTGACCATGGTGGGGACCATTACATCGGAAATGTTGGTACGTTTTTCTCAATTTAGAGATACTATGGCGTCTGTGTGGAAACCGGAAAATGGTGTTTCTATAACTGAAATTGGTCCTAGACGGTATGTTTTTTCAGTTCTATAATGAGGAGGATGTCACTAGGGTTGATGAGGAAGGTCCTTGGCTTTTTTATTAGAACCTAATTGTTATGAGTAGGCTTAAAGTGAGAGATATTCCCCATGTCTGTTCCACTCAATAAAGCGGATTTTTGGGTTCAAGATCATGATATCCCAGTGGGATATTTCACTGTTGAGAATGCGGAACGTATTGAGAACTTTTTAGGAACTTTTATAAAAGTTGATGATAATAACTTTTCTGAGAATTGGGAATCCTTTATGAGGATTCGTGTTTGTATTGATCTGGGGAAACCTCTGAAAAGGAAATTGGTTTTGCAAAAAGAGGAAGGAGTCACTTTCCGTGTCAGATTTTGCTATGAGAAACTGCTTAGCTTCTGCTTTCTGTGCAGAATAATAGGGCATGCAAAAAGTCATTGCCTGCGTAAGCGGCGGGGCTACGAAGTCACTGGTGAAAAACCTTTTGGTCCTTGGCTTAGAGCTACAAAAGGGCCAAAGCAATGGAAAGAGAATAAATGGCTAGTTCCAGCGGAGAAAGGAATATGTTCTGATAGCAAGGCTACCAGTGGAAATAGAGAGGACAACATGCAACCAAGTACTGGGGAGGGGGGCTCTCACCACACGACTACACGAGAGGGGATACATTGAGCAGAAACAAAGGCGTGTGGAGGATCCAACAGAGGACTAGACCGCCATGCACAACAGCGAGAGACACTGGTCCGAAGCTTTGGGAGTTAAATAAGGCCGAGGGCCATGAAGACTTTATTTATTTTTGCTATTTTCTCTTTTATGGTACTCATGGTTCTTTTCTTATTGTTTGGAACTCTAGGGGTAGGTTGTGGTTCACCTTTTCTTTTTTGCTTTGGGATGTTATTGTTGGTGGAAGCGATAAAGCTTGTTTGACCGTTAAAAGCTTCAAAACTCTCAAATGGTTCACGAATAGTCTCGCACTCTCGCTCTTTATGGGGTGGTCTATTCTAAGCCTAGCCAGAGAGTGGGGGGACCTTTGGGCTTTGCGGGGCCTCAAGAGGAGGTTTGGCGTTATAAGGGTGATAATACTTTTAGAGGTTTGAGTGAGGAGGTTGGGCATTGTAAGGGTGGAAGTACATTGAGATCTTTGATTAATTCTACCTCCGTCCCAAAAAGATTGGCCAATTTGACTTTTCTTGGTCAATGATGTTAAATTTTAGACAATGATTTTATGTATTATACTAACTCTTGTTGTGCACTCTTCTTTTAGGTAATTATCATGAATTATAAATATTACGTATGACTTATGATTAGATTCATCTTACACTAATTTTTTGAAATAATGATTTTTTAAATAATTTTTAATAATGATCAAAAAATATATTAAGCGGCAAGCATTACGTACGGTGTAAATGTACGTCTGAGGGACCAAAGGAGGCATTAAGTTAACAAAAAAAAATCTACAACCGATGTTTTCTTTTGGACGGTTTTCAGTTCCAGACCAAGTCAGACCATACCAGATCATATCAGAACAGATCAGATCAGATCAAACTTGACTTCCGTAGTTATAAAATATACAGAGACCGGACGTTTACCAGACCAGTTCAGACCAGACTAGCAAATTTCAGTTCAAAAGAAAACATCCTAAACGAATTCATTAGTGTTTTAGGATGTGTGTAATGGACTGAATTTTTTTTATCTGATTTGATTTGTTTTGAATTGATCTGATAGATATCAAATCTATTGTTTTTATAATCGTCTGATCTGATCTAGTATAATCTAGTCTCTTGACCAACTCTATGAAGATAATACTAATAAAATAAAGCAAATTAAAAAGGAGTATGAATGTATCATCCTTAATCCCAAAAAATACTCCCTCCGTTCCAAAAAATACTTTACATTTTTCTTTTTGGGTCGTTCCAAAAAATACTTCTCATTTCTATTTTTGGAAAGTTTTGTATAACTCACATTCATTTATCTTTTTCTTAATTAACCACAACCATACATTTCCACTTTATTCTCACTTTCTTAATAAGTATGCCAATTTAAACTGAGAAGTAATTTTTGGGACGGAGGTAGTAGTAAATTGTGCGCATATTGATCCACTAAAATACTCCCTCCGTCCCGAATTATAGGATACTTTTCGGTTTACGATGTTTGACCGACGTTTAAGCAAACGAATCTCTGTCTGCACTCAAATTATTTTTAGAAAAAAAACTACATATTCAGAAACTACATTAAAACCGCTACAAAACCTGCAAAAGATAATTCGAATTTCATAAAATTTTGATATATAAATTAAGAGATTAAGAATGATTTGTGTTGAACAAGTGAATAGTAAAAATATGTTATAAAATAGGACCATCGAGTAACATATTAGTTCCGCAATTGAATGTATCATCCGATTGGAGTACGTAGGAGGTGACCCATCTTCAGTTGCATGGTAGATCGCCACATTCTTCTTTGTCATCCAAAATATGAAAATATCTACGGAAGCAGAATCAATTGAATTGGTTCATAATGGAAAATGTGTGACCCAAATGTTATTTTTAGCTGTAAATCTGCAATTCTAAAATGAAATGAAGTGGCATTTAATATGTACATTTATTTTCATTTTATAATGGTAAAACGGTTCTGGGTCAGCATTTAATTTGGGTCACATTCTCGATAACATTATCTAAAATTCTAAATTCTAAAGTATGACCTTTCGAGAGAGCCCTGCTCTAATACATGAATATGAGGCACATCACCATAAACATTATTGGCATTGTCATCATTTCATACTATTTGCATCAACGGACCAATTTTAAAGGTAATGCCTTGCACACACGTTTTATATGCACCCTGCATAAACAGGGGCGTAGACAGGGGTGGCCATCCCTGGCCATGGCCCAGCCCAAATTTTAAAAATGTCTAAACTTTTAAGGTAAAAAATTCTGTGTAAAATTTTTTCCAAAAATATTCTTTGTACCGGCCCAGTCCGGCGCAGTGTCCTAACTCCGCCCCCGTGCATAAACACTTTAGCTCTATAACCAGACCATTTGTTCAAATGGTCAGTATACACAAACATTTTTGAACAAATTTCTCATACACATAGATGTACGGATGCTTGTACAAAAAGAATGACACCTCATTCTTGAAAGATTTCCAAAATCTAGCTGATAGTCAAAGGCCGAGTAAAAAAACTGGGCCAAATTGTACCGGCACAAAAAATGTTTTTGGATAAAAATATATAAATAATTCTTACACTAAAAATATAGTCATCTTTTTAAATTTAGGGTGAATCAGAGTCTAGATTGTCACTCTAACTAAGAGAAAGAGAATAGAGTTGCTTAACCGACCTGGACCTAGCTTTTGTCCCCTTTTCTCCCTTGACAATGTTTTACTCATATTTTAAGTAATATTTTCTTTAAATAAGATGGAAGAGTCTCTTTAACATGTAGTCTCATGTTGAGTTGGTCTTATATTCTACAGTACCTTACCACATTCTAGTATAGGCTCTTCATTCTAACTATTCCTCTCATTCCAATGGAGTTACCTGTGAAAACGCCAAGATACAAAATTGTAGCCAAAAACCTTTCCTTCACTCTTCCCAGTAAAGACCATGGTGATGAGTTTGATTGGACGATATGGAAGCGTCTGGCGCTCATAAAACGGAGAAACAACAATATCAGGCCTTACATATTGAGGAACGTAAACTGTGAAGCCAGAGATGGGGAGATAACAGCAATCGCCGGCCCGAGTGGAGCCGGGAAGACGACCCTGCTCGACATTCTTGCCGGGAATAGGGCGGCATCGTCGTCCAGGGTCGTCTCAGGTCAAGTTCTGGTCAACGGTCAACCCATGAACCCCCCGCATTTTCGGAGGATTTCAGGGTATGTGACGCAGGACGAAGCGCTTTTTCCTCAGCTCACGGTGGAAGAGACGCTGACTTACAGCGCGCGGTTCAGGCTGGGATTGGGGCGGAGAGAGGCGAAGGAGAGGGTGGCTAAGCTTTTGAAGGAGCTCGGGTTGGACCATGTAGCAGGTATTCACCCAAAACTTACTTTGATCATATGCACAAAGCCCCACCCATCCAATACAAACTCTGTAGAGTTTCTGTTTTTTATTATGCTTATAAGTCCAATGTTTTCAAAAGAAGAAGAAGAGATAAGTCCAATAATCTAGTGTTAGATCTCCAAGTTAGAGTATAGATATGTTTGACGATGTTTTGTACCAGCTCACATAAGATCAAACCAAACCAAAAAAACACACTCCAATTAAAAGATTCTTAGTGTATAACTTCCATCTATGGAAAACAATCACCACAAAGTACAAGGAGTGCCGTTAATGTCCGGCTGCCGCCGCGCGTTGGCCACTGCAATGGATAGTCACGTACGGTTAAGTTCTAAACCACTAACCTATGTACGGCAAAGGAGGGATTGGCAATTCTTAAACACAATTCCTATGGGGGTAAAAGAGTAATTATGTTCATATTTTATGTTTAAAATATTTACTATTAATTTGGAATATTTATGATGTTTTGTTCCTATTTCTGACGATTTATGTATAAAAAGTACGTAGTATGAAATAAATGAAAAAACATAAAGTGATGAAAAGTAAGAACATCTCCAATGCAAAACTTGAATAGTACACACGTGGCATGAGAGATAGAATATAAAAATTTAATATCTCTCATTATTTGAATGGTCATATACGTATTTGATATACTTTGTGGTTAACTTTGTTGAAAGAAACTTATCAAAAACTCATAAAATCGTTGAAAAAAGGAGAGATAAATGTTACGATCGTATTCTTTTATGTCTATCTCTCTCATGTGAGATGTGTATTGCACAAATTGTATCATTGGAAATGCTCTAAGATACAAATATCAATTACATTTTAAGCAAATCTCGAAAACTTTGCGAAAACGAAGACAAATCAACAAATAACAAATATTTTTTGATTTTATTTTTCAGTTTTCCATTTTCCAAATATGAACACATGTTTTCCAAATTTCCTTTGTTTTCCATTTCATTTTTCAAAACCATAAAGTAAGTATATACATTGAGTAATTGAAACCTGATAAAACCGAAAGCGTAAAAAATGACAAATATTACCTAACACCGTTCAAAAATTACTACGGAGTATGTGTATAATACAAAATAAAGTGCTCGTAATTAGAAACGTTTGAAATAAGACAAAGCGATTACATAAATGATAATTCACGAACAAAACTTAATAATTATGTAGTGTTTTTTTTTAATAAGAGACTACATTGTCTTAAAAAACACAACACTAGTAATACTTTGACGTGAAAATTGTGAATCAGATCGAGTTAGTATTAGAAACTAATTTTTAAAACCACATGTTTATTCATACCATGTTTGAGTACATATATAACAATGTTAATACTTTTTTATTTTTTGATTTTATTTTTCAGTTTTCCATTTTCCAAATATGAACACATGTTTTCCAAATTTCCTTTGTTTTCCATTTCATTTTTCAAAACCATAAAGTAAGTATATACATTGAGTAATTGAAACCTGATAAAACCGAAAGCGTAAAAAATGACAAATATATATTACCTAACACCGTTCAAAAATTACTACGGAGTATGTGTATAATACAAAATAAAGTACTCGTAATTAGAAACGTTTGAAATAAGACAAAGCGATTACATAAATGATAATTCACGAACAAAACTTAATAATTATGTAGTGTTTTTTTTTTAATAAGAGACTACATTGTCTTAAAAAACACAACACTAGTAATACTTTGACGTGAAAATTGTGAATCAGATCGAGTTAGTATTAGAAACTAATTTTTAAAACCACATGTTTATTCATACCATGTTTGAGTACATATATAACAATGTTAATACTTTTTTAAAGCCATATATTTTTTCATGATCTATGGATTAGAGCTAGTATTATAAACTTATTTATTTTGGGGAAAATTATGGTAACTAAAAATAGGTTTTAAAACACTAAAAACATGAAAATTGATTTACCTAATTTAATAAATAAAATATACTCTGTATTATTCAACATACACTGTTGCATAGATCTCAAAAAGCTATGTAATTCAAAAAAGTTAACCCAATCAAATATCCAATCAAACATTGTAGTGTTGCGTATTTTCATTTGGAAAACACCAAAAAGCGAGTTCTCCAAATTTTTGAAAAATCAGAACCATATCTTTTTTAAGTTTTCCAATTTTCTCGAAAAACGGAAAATGTTAACAAATGGACCCTATTGTTTTAAATTTTTATATCCCATATATATTTCTAAAAAGAAACTGGTGTAGGA